GAAAGGCAAGTTCTTTCCATTTACCATAAAGTTTGTCCAATCTGAGGTCCAATCTTTGTCTAACAATAAACCCAAACAAGTTTTTATATTTCCTAAATAGTAGTGCACTTAGAATTTCTCAGGGGCATTACTCCATTATTTAGCCGATAACATTCCCAGGAAACTGTTAAAATTTTTTGTGGAGGTCTCCCATTTGTTAGTATTTCACAAACCGTTTATTTAGTTAAATAACTTTTTTTCCCCTTGACTTTTCAGTCTTCTACTGTGCTGTATGCATTATCTTCTTTACAACTGAACACAGCTATAAAACTAAGTTTCTTTCTTTGTCTCTGCTACTCATTGTATTTCCATATGAATTTGTTTTTACTTTATTTTGCTACTTCATCCTAAAGAAGTGATCCAGTTTATTTTGCAACAAAAGGGGAGACATTATTATCACCGTTCACTCTTTTCTACAGTAGGTTCACTATGGTTGGTCATTTATTTTAATACAAAATACACTCACATACAGAACAAAAAATTAAAAATTTAGCATATAGCAAAATCATTATATAATTAAGCATAAATGAGAAAAGTAATTATAAAATTTAATTATAAAAATTGGAAGATACCCTCATTTGAACTTTGCCTAGCTCCTTGTTGCTAGTTTTAAATAAACATATATAAATAAATAATACATACACTTCAATTCCAATAAGATGTATCAAACTAATATATATTCATAGAAAAAAAATTCTCACCTAGACTCAAAAGGGTATACGTTCTTTTGCCAGTCTGTGATGATACATACCGCATTTTTTAAAAATCAGAGTCTTACTCTGTTGCCCAGGCTGGAGTGCAGTGGTATAAACATGACTTACTGAAGCCTGGAACTCCTGGTCTCAAGCAATCTTCCCAGCTTAGCTTTCTGAGTAACTGGGACTACAGGGGCATGCCACCACACTCAGCTGCTGTTTTAAATTTTTTGTAGAGACAGCGTGTTGCCTTGGCTGGTCTCACTATCATGTACTCAAGTGATCCCCGCACCTCAGCTTCCCGAAGTGCTAGGATTACAGGCATGAGCCACCATGCCCAAGCCTTATTGTATTTTTTGACTATAAATTGCCATCCAGTTTTATTTTTTCCAATAGCCTCTCACCTCTTTCACTGAAGTAAATATAATCTAATATTAGTTAAACATTCTCTGAATCATGGATGACAGAGCATAAAGCAACTCTCTTTTATTGTGGGAAGCATAGACTCCCTGCACAAGTTGTAACAAAGCCAATGTCTACTTTTTAAAGTAATGTTGATGCTAATATAGGAATAAAGCTATCTTTATATATGGTTTAAAGTTGTGGGGAAGGACAAAATCATCATGCCATTTGAATACTACTGCGCTTTATTGGATTTGTATTATAATATTCATTATTAAGTGTGAAAAGTGAGACATGGGGGTCACGTGGCTGTGACCAAGATCACATATCCAATAATAAGTAGAACTGGAATCTAACTTAAAGATTCTCATCCTTAGTATAAGATTTTCTCTGTTACATCATGCCATTATACTATGTTAAATTAATTTATTAAAACATAAATAAATTTAATAATTTTATATACTGCTTGGTGTATAGACTGATGTACAGACTGATGAAAATATATACAATCATATTTCTTATTTTGGAAATCTAAATTTTCTCTAAGATATAAAACTTACATTAAGTTTTTTTCAATACAATACACTTTATCAAGGGATAATTTACTTAAAATAAAATGCATCCCAATTTAGTGTGTATTTTGATGAGTTCTGAAGAATGTGTACAGACAGGTAATTACCACCATTATCAAGACATGGAATATTTTTATGACCCAAAAATGTTCCTTGTGATTCTTCACAGTCAATCCTGTTTCAACCACATTAGCCACAGTCACCAATCTGCTTTCTGCCTGTAAAGATTGGAATTGTCTTCCCTGAGTTTCATACGAATGACGCAAAAGTACCTATTCTTCTGTGCCTGACTTCTTTTTCAGTATAACTTTTTTTTTGTTTTCAGTATAATGTTTTTGAGATCATGTATGTTGTGGGCTCGTATCAATGGTTCATTCCTTTGTATTGCTTCTTAGCATTCAATTGTATGTTATACTAACATGTTTATTCATTCACATGTTAATGGCTGTTTTGACTGTTCCCAGATTTTGGCTATGGGGAACAAAAAAGCTGTAAACGTTTTTGTACAAGTCTCTGTATGGGTGTATGTTTTCTTTTCTCTTGGGCAAATACCTAAAAATGAAATGGCTAGGTCATATGGTAAATGTCTGTTCAAATTTATATAAAACTGATAAAATGTATTTTTCAAAGGTTGTCATTTTATATTCTCACAGGCAATGTATGTTAGTAACCAGTTGTCAATATTGGTATTGTTAGTCTTGCATTTTAGCCATTCTCTTAGGTTTTAGTGGTATTTATTATAGTTCTAGTTTATATTTCCCTGATAACTAATGACACTGGCAATTTTTCCAGGTGGTAATTGGTCATTTGATGTCTTTTAAAATCAAATACATATTTACATCTTTTTTTCTAATTTAAAATTGATTCATTTTTCTTGTTACTATTGAATTTTAAGAGTTCTTTAGAAAGTCTAGATGTATTTCTGTGTTAAATATATTCATTTCCAATATTTTCTTCTAGTCTATGACTTCCCTTATTTCATTATGCGTGTGTTTTAAAGAACAGTAGTTTTTTATTTTGATGTATTCTAAATGTTAATATTTTTGTTATTCATACTCTTTTTGGCATTCTATATAAAGTATTTTTGCTTACCAACTGAAAATCATAAAGATATTGTTTTTTAGAAGTTTAATATTTGTATCCCTTAATTTTAGGTCTATAATCTATTTTGAGTTGTTTGGTATATAGCGTGAATTAAGAACCAAGTTTTATTTTTGTTTCATAAAAATATGCTATTGTTCCAGACATAGTATTTCAATAGCATAATTCTCTCATTACACTGACTTGGAAACCTTGTGAAAGATAAATTATTACCTATCTATCTAGCTAGCTAACTAGACTTTTGATTCTATTCTAATGATTTATGTGTCTGTCTTCATACCAACATCAAATTGGCCTGATTATGTCTGTATTTGTATTATATCCTGAAATTAGGGAGTGTTAAGTCCTCTAACATTTTCTTTAGAAATTAAAATTACTTATCCATTTTTTAGTCTCTTATGCTACCATATATTTTGAAATAAGCTTGTCAAGTTCAACAAGTAATCCTGCTGATTGAGGTTGCATAGAGATTTCTCTCAGCAATATTCTTTCAGTTTGCTTTGCACATATTTTAAAAAAATTATCACTAGTCATTCCATGTTTTTTATGCTATTAAGGCTGATATTTTTTACAATTCAATTTCTGTTCATTGCTAGTACATGGAGATACAATTGATTTTTGTGTGGAGACCTGATATCTTGTTTCATTTGCTAGTCTACTCACAAATGCTAGAACTTTTTCCCAATTCCTCAATGTATATGCACATATACATTTCTGCATATGTCATATGTGAATGAGGATAGTTTTAATGCTTCCTTTCTAATGTTCATATGTTTTATGTTTTGACTTATTGAATAAATTTATATTAAGAGTCGGCTGGGTGCGGCTCACACCTGTAATCCCAGCACTTTCGGAGACCGAGGTTGGTGGATCACAAGGTCAGGATCAAGACCATCCTGGCCAACATGGTGAAATGCCGTCTCTACTAAAATACAAGAAAAAAAAAAGTGGGAATCCTTTCTTTGTTACTGATATTAAAGGAAGAACATATATTTTTCACCACTAAGGCTTTCCTGCATCTTTTGTGATAACCATAGCTTTTTAAAAAGTATATTAATGTAGTAAATTATATAGGCTGATACTCAAACCAATCTTGCATTTCTGCTATGAAACTAACTTGACTCTATTACGTCACATTGAGGCAGGAGGATAGGGCCTGGAGGCAGGAAACGTAAGACTGATCCATGCTGACTTCCTAGAACTAAATCTAATGAAAGCACTTCAGCAATGATAGGAATGTGAATGGCTTTGCAACTTCACTTCATCCTCTATGTTCATGCCATTTACACTTTGTAACTTCACATTCCATACTCTCCATTTACCTAGATCACACACACCAAGTAGCATCTTCTCTATTTATGATAGAGTGCATTCCAAGTAAATGACTCTGTGACTTCATCTCGTTCTCTTCATTTACATAGAATATATGCCAAGTAACCAATGGGAAACCTCTAGAATATTGAAATCCAAGAAAATTCTGTAAATGGGGCTCTTGAGCCCATATACTCAGGCTGCTCCCACACTGTGGAGTATACTTTCATTCTCAATAAATACCTGCTTTTGCTTTCCTTGCTTTGTTTGTGCATTTTGTTCAATTCCTTGTTTGAGACTCCAAGAGCCTGGACACCTTCTACCAGTAATACATTTGCTAATATTTTGCTAAGAAGTTTGTATCTATCTTTATGAAGATATTATTTCCCAGTTTTATTTCCTTGAAGTTTCTTTTTTGACTTTTGTTATCAGGGTAATGTTGACCTCTGTTTTCTGAAAAAAAAAATGTGTAAGAATAGCATTTCTTTGTTAAACAATTTATAGAATGTAACTATGAATGTATGTGGGATTGTGTGTTCTCTGAGCTAAAGTTTACAAACAACAAATTTAATTGTTTATGTATTTATAGGGCTAGCTACATTCAGAGACTTTTTTAAGTTTTGAGTTTTTGTTTGAAATATGCACTTACACTGAATATAGATTTTAGTTTGCAATAATATTTTATATACCCTCTAAGACATTATTCCACTAACTTTTTTGTTGTATATTTTCCATAGGCAATATGCATACTTTTTTTGCCTCGATAAAGTTTTATTGTTTCAATACGAAACATTCCACAAAGTGAAAAGTGTTCTATAATACCCAAGCTCTATGTTGAACTACCAGTTAATCATGGAAAACATTTCTATATCATTCTGTTTTACAACCAGTATAAACCCAGAATAATCAAGATCTGATTGTTTTTCACATGTCTGCTACGTCAGTAAACTATCAAACAGTTATCTGGTCATTTTAACATACTTCTTGCTTTGAACTTAATATACATTTATATTTGGTACAATCTCTATATCCTCTACTATCTTTAGGATATCTAAATATCTTAAATGTCTTGGGTATCTCAAGAGACAAAAGGTCCTCACAGAAGCTTTCACCCAAGTAATCATAAGAGTATGGAAGACTGGGGCAACAACCACATAAATTTGGTCATTATCCTTGTGGTCTGTTGATTAGTAGTTGTCTTTCAAATGAGAGTTTAAAATGTTGTACTTACTCTCCCTAGTTGCAAATGTTAAAACAGGACAGTGCCATAATTACAACAAAAAAAAACCTTGTAAGTTGAGTTAGTTCCTCTACTCCAACAACTCAAGTCTGTTTCCTTTGAGACCATTATGCTATTGGCTCTAGTCTCCAAAGCAGTAAACTAAAACTTGTTTCCAAGACTAGGAGGTAAATTAGGCTTATAAAATAATACAGCAAAAGAAAGCCAAGTGGCCTAACTGTTTCCAGTGTGCTTAGCATGGTTGTTATTTTCCATATGTCACTCAAGTTTTATTCTACAACTAAACTCTGTTTCTGAATAAGCCACCACAAAAAAGTGTTTCATTTACTGTCAGACACTTCACTAGATAGAGCTACCACTTATATCCATCATTTTTATAATTCAACTTAATTTCTAAATTAAAGAGTTGTCCCCATGACTTTAGCTAAGCAAAATGAAAGCCAAAGCTGTAAAATCTATGTAAAGCACCACAAGAACTTCTTGACTACCTCCACTTACCAATTTCCTTAATTACTTCCCCTTTTCCATTTGATTAATTACTTGTTTTAAATAACTACCACTCACTCCCTAGTTATGAGTGTTAATAACACTGATGCCTTTCTCAGATCCACAGTGATCCTTGAAGGCAAGATCTATTGCCTACACCAAACCAATTCTGACAGCATTGCTTATGCAACTGTAGTGACTTACTGACAATCAGCCGCCTTCTGCTTCAACAACTCTTAGCATTTGATTTTTCTTACTGCCAGCTTTATCTACTGTGAATAAATCAGCACTCCAGGACCATAATGAGCATAATCCTCAACCATCTTTGCTGTTTCACAGGCATTTGTTGCTTTAAATCTAATGTGGAATGCTGATAGATTCACTTTTTAGAAGTCATAAGCCTTTAGGAAGTTGGCAATAACTTCATTGCCTGTCTGTTTTCTCCTTTGCAATCAAGCTGTTCCTTTAAAAGTTAGACACTACAGAGTTGCCAAAACTTGAAACAGTAAGAGCAAGCACCTTTGCAGCTTCATGTTTGCTTTTGGCCAAGCTTTTTATTTAGTATTCTATACTTGTTTAACACATACTTAAAGTGTCTTACTGGGGGAGGGGAAAGGGGAGGTTCTTGTGGATTCCCAAGGAAATGTCAGAAAGGCAAAATGACCAGCATTATCCATTGGCTTTTTTGGGTTTACTGGGTGAATAGCACTTTCCTTACATAGGCATCTGATCTCAGGGTTTTCATGGTGAAACAGTGAGATTTCAGTTGGAAGACACCCTGAAATGTTTTGAGTAGCATATCCCAACCACCCTCCAATAACTAGCTTGTTTGTATCTTTCCATTTTAGATGGCTAGGTGTTTTGTGGAAGACCTTAGAATTGCTTGCCCCATTTACTGGGAAAAATCAGATAGGAAGTGGCCTTTGGGGACACTTTTACTTGGAAAGTTACAACACTAGTGCAAGTCTTAACACATTTAACATTTGCTTGTTGAAAAGCAATGTCATAAAGTCAAATAAAATTAAAAATATTTTACTTTTTTCCTCACAAAAACATAAAAATTACAGAGGGGAACTTAGGGAATTTAAAAAAGGTAACGCAGTTTTTCCATTTAGTAGTTCTTGGGTAGTTATGACAGAATAGTTTCCACTTTTTGTTTGTTTCTTTGAACTGTAATTTTGGTCCAAAGTTTTGTTTGCTTCTAGTATCTGCTTCTACCTCCCTCTTTACCAGATCAGCTTCCTCCATGACCACCACCTCTTCTTGCTCTGCTGTAGGAATCACATGGAGGAGGGCTTTCCATAGAAGGGGGCAGCCCTCTTTCTTGTCTGCCAATGCGATCATGACTACTTGAGGAGAGATCATTACGGCTGCTTGAGTAACTGTCTCGACTTCCACCATTTAGGTCATGTAAACTGCTGTAATCATGATAGCGACTGATTCCATGATAAGATGGCAGGGCTCTTATGTAGGTGGAGCACTGCGTGAGTTACTTTAACTCTCATACGAATCTCTGTAGGAACTTCCACTTGGATGATCTGAATAGTTATGATAATGACCATATCTATCTCTATCGCTGTAGACTCTGGATGGATAGTCATCATGTGAACTGAAATGACCATAATCCGAGTAAGTAAGTATAATCTTGTGGTAGTAGTGTATAATCTCTTGCATCAAGAAAACTTGGGTAAGTTGTCTTTAGTAGAATATCCATCATCTCTTGGGGACAAATAAATACCTTTATGAGATGGCAGTGGTTTCCTTCGAGGTGGACCTCCATAACTATCTCTTCCACATGATACAGGAGCTCTTCCTCCCATTCCACTGCTGCTGCGAACTGGTCCTAAATGTGCAGATCTCTTAGGAGAAGGAACCCCACTTCTTGGTGGTGGCCCTTTACTGGGAGCGGTCCCCTGGAAGAACTCATGTTAAAATTAATGGAATATCCACCATCAACCATGTGTCCTCTTTGAGAGGGTGGTCCCCTGGTTCCTCCACTTCCTCCTCCTCCACCTCTAATACCTCTTAGAGGGCCTCTACTTCTTGGAGGTGGAGGCAGTTCATGTCTACCACTTTCGAATGATGGTTTGGTGACTTGTTCCACCTTGATGGTTTTTCCATCTGGTGACTTTCCATTCATGTCTCTGGCTGCATCTTTAGTGTCTGCTGGGCTTTCAAAGTTGACAAAAGCAAATCCTCTTGATTTGTTGGTTTCATGGTCTTTCATCAAGAGTACTTTCACTATTTGTCCATATTTGCCAAATACTGTGCCAAGAGCTTTCTCGTTTGTTTCTGTATTAAGCCCACCAATGAAGAGCTTTCCTGGGCATCTGCTTCAATCATTTTTTTTGTGTGTCAGTGAGTTGGAGGAGTGATAATGGGTTAAAGCTCCAATGAGCTCATGGACAGGGGCTTCCTACCAGCTCAGTACCAGTGGTGGCTTCCGGCTCCGAGGACCAAACCACGAAGCCACTAGCACTACTGTGCAACCAATAAGCACACATTTTAATTCTGGTTTTTTTTTTTTTTTTTTTTTTTTTTTTTTTTTTTTTTTTTTTTTTTTTTTTTTTTTTTTTTTTTTTTGACTGAGTCTCATTCTGTAGCAGGGATAGAATGTAGTGGCACAATCTCGGCTCACTGCAACTCTTTCTTTGAGAATTGTTCATTCACGTCCTTAGCCCACTTTTTGAAGGGTTTTGTTTTTCTTGCTAATTTGTTTGAGGTCCTTGTAGAGTCTGTATATTAGTCTTTTGTCAGATGTATAGATTGTGAAGATTTTCTACCACTCTGTAGGTTGTCCATTTACTCTGCTGATTGTTTCTTTTGCTGTGAAGCAACTTTTTAGTGTAATGAAGTCCCGCCTATTTATCATTGTTTTTGTTATATTTGCTTTGGGGTTCTTGGTCATGGAGTCTTTGCCTAAGCCAATATCTAGAAGGGTTTCTCCAATGTTATCTTCTAGAATTTTTATGGTTTCAGGTTTTAGATGTATGTCCTTGATCCACCTCAAACTGATTTTTATATAAGGTGAGCGAAAAGGATTCATTTTTACTTTTCTACATGTAGCTTGCCAATTATCCCAGCACCATTTGTTGAATAGGGTGTCCTATAAAGGAAAACCCATCAGATTAACAGCAGATTTCTCAGGAGAAAACCTACAGACTAGAAGGGATTGGTGCCCTATCTTCAGCCTCTTTAAACAAAACAATTATCAGTCAAGAATTTTGTATCCAGTGATACTAAGTATCATAAATGGAGGATACAGCTTTTTGTATGAAAGATAGTCTTTGTCAGACAAACAAATGTTGAGGCACTGTGCCATTACCAAGCCAGCACTACAAGAACTGCTAAAAGGACCTCTAAGTCTTGGAACAAATCCTCAAAATACATCAAAACAGGACATTTGAAAGCATAAATCTTACAGGGCCTATAATACAACAACACACACGCACAAACAACAATAACAACAACAACAACAACAAAAACCCAAAACAACCAAGGGTATGCAAGCAACAAATAACAGGATGAATAGAATAGTACCTCACATCTCAATACTAAATGAATATAAATGGCCTAAATGCTTCACTTAAAAGATACAGAATGACAGAATGGATAAGAATTCACCAACCAAGTACCTGCTGCCTTCAAGAGAGACTCCCCTAACACATAACTACTCACATAAACTTAAGGCAAAGGGGTGGAAAAAGATATTTTATGAAAATGGACAACAAAAACTAGCAGGAGTTGCTATTATTATATCAGACAAAAACTTTAAAGCAATAGTAGTTAAAAAAGACAAAGAGGGACATTATATAATAATAAAAGGTCTTGTCCAATAGGAAAGTATCACAATCTTAAATATATACACATCTCACACTGGAGCTCCTAAATTTATAAATCAATTACTACTACACCTAAGAAATGATATAGCTCTGTCTTTTCCAGATCTCTGCCTCTACAACTTCCAGCTGCCTCAACTTTTCCTTTTCTCCATTAATATTCTTCACTTCCATGAGTTCACTTAGGGGCTTTGGGTATACCTCTCTGTTCACGTGTTTTTAAATTTTTGTGTAGGAAGCAAACCAGAGCAGTTACAAGATTAGTCTCACCTGCTTCACTTCTGTGAAAAATCAGCCTTGAGATATGCATTATAAAAGTCAATGTCTGAAAGACATTTTTTTCTTATTTTTTATTTTTGTTTTGTTTTGTTTCCCCAGTAGGGTGGTAAATCTAATCCTTTTTATACCATCTTAGTGAGAACATGAAATTTCATATTGCTTTTAAATCCCAGTCTAAAGCCATGTTAAGTACTATGATTTATGGATTTTTAAAAAAACCTTCTGGACAAGTATATCTATGCCAATGAGTTTACTTAATTGTTAACCCCTTTTCTGGAAAAAAAACATTGTTATAAACAATAGAGTGGGAGGGACCAGAAAATGATTTAAGCAACCTAGCTGTATGTAATTCAAAGGTGACCTTGAAATACAAAAAAAAAATAATAATAAAATAAAAAATCTTCAATGTAATGCATTTTAGAATTACTTAAGAAAACTTTATATATATATATATATATATATATATATATATATATTTTAGAACATTTTCAAAGAGTAGCCTGTAGTACAGTCAAGAGCAGTTTAAAAGGATCCTTGCTCTCTCTATTTCTAAATGTTCACAGGCCCAAAAGAAGGAAAACAGAAAATCTAACTTGGAAAGAAAAATTGTCAACTTACAAAACCTCCAAATGTGGCTGTATATTTCGAAGAGATTTAGAAGATTATAAACTGACTAAAAATGATAATTAATATATGGCTCTCCAGATGAAATAAAATTTTTGAATTGTGCAAGAAGGAAAGAAAGATATGGAAAAAGTTAATCTTGAGGCTTAATATAAATACTAAATCCTTTAGGTAACTGAACTTTATTTGCCTTGATTAACAGAAAACACTCAGTCTTGAACATTTTTAACAATCCTTAGTCTCTTTCAGTCTCTTTCCTACAACTATTAATTTGTGAACATTATCAGAGGAAATTTCTTTATTCTCTGTGATAGAAATCATGTAACTTTTTTGGGTAACCTACTTTGGACACTGAAGTTTCAGAAGAAACAAACTATGAAAGAATTATTTTTAGAAGGTCTCTAAATATTAAACAAATTAGCAGATTATAACCAATCTAGGTATCCCATAGTCCTTACAGTATGTATGAGTTATGAGTCTAAATTATTTTCAAATTATTCCAATGAGCAGAATATAATTGGAGAACAGAGTAATTGGAGAAAACCCATAAGAATATATATTTATTCTAGAATATCATAAAATTTTGTTTTTATATATAAATTAGGACATATCATAGGTATGTAAGATCAACAACATGGCACACATAAAAGTTCAGAAGTATTCTTCTTAAAATATCATAAATGTTTTGTAAATGTCTATAAAAGCATTAGGCTATGCTCTAGAGGTATAAACTCAGCAACATGACATAGTCATTGCCTATCACAGCCTACCGCTTGGATCAGTAGTCAGGGATTATCCTCCTTGTCTCAGAATAATTTTAGTCTTGGGTAAATTAATCAAAGTTATCTTTCAATAATCTAGCCATCTCACCTATAGTGTAATATGTATTTGTTAGAGTAGGTGGATAGTTAGACATGAGCAAGAAGGTTAGCCCCTAAAAATGTAGTAAGCTCTATGAAATCTCACACTCCAGAGACCATCCAAAATATGCGTGCCAGATATGAGTAGAGGGGAGGGAAAATACCTATGCAAGAAGGAACTCTCCAAAATGCCTCTTAAAATGCCCAGTAATCACTCATTCTGTGATTGAACTGTGAAACTATAGTTAGCTATATGCTGATAAGGAGGGGAAAAAGGCAAAGGGGAAATTGCTAAGAGATACAAAGTCACAATAACTACATATTTAACTGCTGTTTATACACCTTCCTGGGGTGGTAGTAATGAACCGCACTACCATTAGGAAAGATTTGTATAGATCACTGGGCCTGCACTTGCGTATCAACAGACAGTAAGGGAGAATCCTACAAACCTGCGGTGGGAACTTGGTGGGGGAAAAGGCAGGGACTTAAGGCGGAAGTCGGAAATCAGACACAGACAAAAGCAGAGACTTGAGACAGAGGTGCAAACCTAAAGAAAGTGTATGACATGATAAAAAAACAACAACATAGAACTTTCAGGGTCGCTGGCCCATTCTCCTCCAAGCAGCCCACTCTGCCACTTTAAATAATCTGTGATACCCCTTAACCATTGCTGCTATTGCTATTGCTCCCAGCCTAGTAAGCTCACTCCTCTCTTGGAGTGTACTTTCTTCAAAAACTCTCCACTCTCTTTGTTAAATTGTCTCTTGGCCAAATTCTTTCTCCCAAGAACACTAAGAACTGAGGACACCATGCTTCCTGGTAACCTTTTGAAATATATTAAGTTTCTCTTTTGTTGTTTTACAATATCCTTGCTGGTGAAGAAAATCTGAGGGTTATAATTCTGTAATTTGAGAAGTACCCATGCCAAAAATAAATATTTTGGATAATCCAGTACCAAATTTTTATTTCATATATTTTTAAATTTTATATTTCAATATTAATGATTAAAGTTTTTATGCAAGAATCTCTCATTGAACAGAATGACAAAAATCTATGAAGAATATCAAGAATTCTGTCACAGGTGCACAAAATTTGCTTTCCAATTCTGTGAAGAACAGATGGGAATTGTCAGGTTGCAAGGTCTATAGGACATAATCTAAGAAAGACACCATGGCTGTCGGATGACATCAGATAATCTCAAATAGACATTTGGTAAAATATTCTATGAGATAATCATCACAATATTGATAAATTGGCCATCATTTCAAACATCAAAGCAGAAATGTTCTTAGGAGGTATTTTATGCTATTGATCCTCTGTATGGGCTTTTAGCATATGCTAAAGGGAAAACCTGAAAGAATTAAACTGTTGTTAATAAATTAATCATATTCCAGAAAAAAGCTCAAGAGTATTTGTAAAATGAACAAAAAAATTGCCAAGAGCCCAACAAAGTTGAATTTTCAATTCTACATCTAACGTAAAATCCCAAGGCATAAAAAAGAAGCAGAAAAAGGTGACCTATAATAAGGAAAATAATCAACCTTTTCTGTAAATTTTTATTTCCATCTGGATTATATTCCTTCTACCTGTGGGAATTCCTCTAACATTTCTTGCAGTTCATATCTGCTTATTGCCTTTAAATTTTGTTAGGCAGGACCACAGCAGAACCTGGCCTATGGCTAATTTTGCTCCACAATTGAGGCACAAATTTTTTATATACTCTACCCGATACTCTGTGAATTATTAGGATTTCCACTCTTGTTAGTGGAAATGAGCATTTATTTTTCCAGTCCTGTGTAAGTGCAAAAGATGCTACCTCTGTCTTTTCATACATTTCTTTCTTTTGTCTCAAGTTGTTTTCCCATGTTCATGGGCTAATTAGTATTCAGCTGATGACTCAAGAACTTTTCCAGATCTCTAGAATTCTCTTTCTGGGCAACTCTCTCCTTTCTGGTACTCTACATTGCAAACTCTGTCAACTGTGTCTTTCCTTCTTTCCCTACTATGTCTCTTCAAGCCATAGGATCTATCTGGTTTTCCTCTTTCTGTGCCACCTGGAAACATCTTCACAAAGTATACTGGGACAATCAGAGAGCTTACAATGTTTATTTACTATCTCTGTTATTGCTCTCTGTCATGGTCTGATATCCAATGTCTTCAGAACCTTTTTTCATTTATTTTGTGCATTTCAAAAATGTTTTGGGCAGGAAGATATATCTAATCCTACTTATTCTACTTGTTCAGGAGAAGTCTTGAAAGTAGGCTCTTTGATTTGCATACATTTTAATATGTTTAATCTTTGTCAATGAATAAGGAGACATTCTTTTTTTTTTTTCTTTTTCTTTTTGAGTCGGAATTTCTCTCTTGTTGCCCAGGCTGGAGTGCAGTGGCACAATCTTGGCTCACTGCAACCTTCACCTTCTGGTTTCAAGCGATTCACAAGGAGACATTCTTAGTGAAACATAAACTTCACATTAGTATTCTTTACTAACACAAATCCCACTGGCTGTGAGCCAATTAGACAGCAGATGGTTCAGTTTAAATCAATTAAACTGAATGATTTGTACTATAATAACTGGGACTATCAAAGTGCATGTCCAAAAAACACTCTTCTTTTAACTATAATCCTTATGCTTTTGACAATCCTTGAGGAAGTGCAGCTGAGGTTCACCTTCAATATTTATCAACATTATTAATCTTATAATTTTTATTTATAAATGAAGTGGCTAGATGAGTAAAAAATATTGTTATTCAGTATTGATCTTAACAAATGTTTATTACCAGTATTTTATGATTTTTATTTAATTTTGTTTTTTGATCAATTATATAATTATGGGCTACAAAGTGATGTTATCATGTATATACAGAGTGTGGAGTGATTAAATCAAGCTAATTAACATATCCATCAACTTAAATACTTAACATTTATTCTTCCTGTCTTCTGGCAGCTTCACATCCTTTGACCATTTCCCCAACTCCTTGTCTCGGATAACCACCATTAAATTTTCGCTTCTATGAGTTTGATTGTTTTAGATTCTACATATAATTGAGAACTTGTGATATTTGCTTTTCTGTGCCTGGCTTATTTTACTTAGCATACTGTCCTCCAGGTTCACCTATTTTTGAAAGGACAAGATTTTCTTCTTTTTAAAGGCTGACTGGAGTTACATTATGTAGATATGCCACATTTTCTCTATCCATTCATTTGTTAAAGGAAGCTTAGGTTGATACCATAACTTGGGCATTGTGACTAGTGCTACGATAAACATGCGAGTGCAGCTATCTCCTCAATATGTTGTTTTCATTTCCTTTGGATATATACCCAGTAGTGGGATTGCTGGATCATATGGTAGATCTATGTTTTAGTCTCTTGAGGAGCCTCCACGTTGTTTTACTTAGTGGTTGTGTTAATTTATATTCCCACCAACAGTTAACAGGGTTTCCTTGTCTCTATATCCTTGCCAACATTTGTGGTTATATTTTGTCTTTTTGAAAATAGCTGTTTTAACATACACTGGGGCCTGCTGAGGGGTGGGGGGGCAAGGGGAGGAAACCTAGGTGATGGGTCAATAGGTGCAGCAAACCACCACACATTCTACACGTGCATCCCAGATCTCAAAGTAAAATAACAAAATTTTTAAAAAGAGAAAGAAAATAGCTGTTCTAACAGGGGCAAGGTTGTATCTATGCTTTTAATTTGCATTTCCGTGATGAGACATATTTTCATTTGACTCTTGGTCATTCGTATATCTTCTTTAGAGATATGTCTATTCAGGTTCTTTGCCCAGGTCTTTTTTTCTTTTTCTGCTGTTGAGAATTTTGAGTTTCTTGTTTATTTAGGATATTACCATTTTATTAGACCTATTGGTTACAAATATTTTCTCTGATTCTGTAGATTGCAGTTTTGCTGTGTTGTTATCCTCATGCAGAAAAAATGGAACTGGACCCTTGTCACACACCTGTGAAAGGAAAATAAATCTTGGGGCCCCATCACTAAGCTAAAGGGAAAAGCCAAGCTGAGGGCAAACCTGTTTCCCATTCTATTTAAAGTCACCCCTCTGCTCTCAGCGATAAAGGCACATCTGATTGACTCCTTTGGAGAGGCTAATCAGAAACTGAAAAGAATGCAACCATCCATTTGTCACTTTTCTTCCCATGACCTGGAAGCCCCCTCCCTACTTCAAGTTGCCCTGCCTTTGATTCGAGTTGGCCCACCTTTTCAGACTGAACCAGTGTTCGTCTTTTATATGTCGATTGATGTCTCATGTCTGTCTAAAATGTATAAAACCAAACTGTGCTCTGATCACCTTGGGCACATGTTGTCAGTACCTTCTGAGGCTGTGTCATGGGTAAGTGTCCTCAATCTTTGCAAAATAAATTTTCTAAACCAACTGAGACCTGTCTCAGATATTTGGGGTTCACACACCATGTACAAATAACTTCAAATGAATTAAATACTCAAATCTAAGACCTGAAATTGTAAAAATACTGGAAGAAAACAAAGGGGAGAAGTTTCACAGCATTGGCCTCGGCAATGATTTGTTGTGTAGGACCCCAAAGCATAGGTGACAAAAGTAAATAGACAAATGGGGCTGCATTTATGCTAAAAAGCTTGGACATGGTGAAAGAAGCCATTCTTAGCATTTTCAAAGTGTTGGGAAAAAAATACATTATTTTCTACAAGCAAACCTTGCTGTATGAATTAATTATAATTTCATTTTTTCTTATGTTTATTCTTGAAAATGTACCAAAAAACAATGACTTAGACATTGCTTAAAGGTATGAGCAGTAAAAAAAAATATGAAGAACTCATGAAACAGCAGATTTTTATACACTGTTTCCTCTGTAAGATAGCAAACCCCTAAAGGTTAAGATGTATGCTTTAATTCCTCATCTTCCCTCCACAGTACCTACCAAGATACTCTTTGTGTATATATATATATACAGTATCTAATACTATTATTATCTTTTAGTTGATTAAGTTAAATTAATCCACTTTAATAGGTATACTGTGTTCAAATGAAAAATACGTGGACAACTAGGCACTAAATTAATGTTTAAGACATATTTAATTTTCTGTAAAGTGAATTTATAGAATAAAGACAATGTTAGCATTATAGCATTGTTGTAGGTATCACCTGAGTTATGTTTATAACTTTCAGAAGAGCATCTGGAGTAAAATAAGTACTTAATAAATTATAGCTACTATTTTGATTATTAATTCAATTATTAATAGGATAATTACTAAAGAGTACTTAAAATTGTTATTCATCTCATGCAAAATGGCACAATTTTCAGATGTTAGTATAATTTTTTCAGCATAGTAAATTTCCGAAAAAAATTTTGAATCTTTTTTCCTGTTTCATTAATATAAACTAATTATAAAATTGAATATATATGAGTTTTTCAGAAGAAATATTGACCATTATATAAAATGTCATATTTAAGAGATTAGTAAAATGCCAATGTCCTACTGTTAGAAGTAATCTGATAACTCAGTGTTAAAATAATTAATAAAATATGAATAAAACAATAAAGTTTGTATTGATGCAGAACATATTGAAAGTCAAAAATAAAAACACTACCTAATGAGGATAAAATCAGATGTAATCTTCTTTTAGCAATTAAACATATATTCATTTTGAGGCTATAAAGGTAAAAGACAGCAAGTCTTGTCTTCAGGGAGTTTCCAGAAGCAGGTGGTTTCAACATAATATTAAGTAAGTGCTACGATAGCATAAGCTCTGAAAGAAAATGCCAAGTCTGTCCTAGAGTTTAAAGAAAACTTGAAAGAGAAGACATCTGGGCTGATTTGAAAGGAAGAAGAGGAGTTAGGTTAACAAAGAAATGCAGTAAAAAGCATGGATAGAGAAATAGAGCTTTAATCAATATGTTGTCTCCACAGCAGAAATTGTGTGGCAAGGAGCAGTAAGGGGTGAACCTGGCAAGGCAGACAGACTCCAGGGCACCTGGGGTCTCATGCACGTTCAAAAGAGCTGAGCTTTATTTTATGGCAATAACGAACCACTTCTATTTGTTTCTGAATTTTTTTTCCCCCCAGGACTTTGTGAAAAATATCTTGGTATGGGAAATATGAAAGAGATATAAAAGATAAAAGACAGACATTACTTCAAAATGCAATCTTTGTATCATAGAAATATAGATTGTAAAACTAGAACAGATATTTGAGATCACTTAATTCTACTGTTTCAATTTACAACTGAGAAAATTGGTTCAGAGGCAATCAGTGGCTTATTAAAGACAGAGTTGTATTACAGCTAAGTTCTGAATATATATAAGCACATACACATGTGCCCTGCATACACTTACATGCACACATTCAACTAAAAAGCCATTATAAAGAGATAGTGGTACCTTAAAATGTGTCTAAGACAGACTCAAAATTTTTTTTTTTACTTTTTATCTTACTTTTTTTTTTTTTTTTTTTTTTTTTACTGGTGGGGAAAGGCTGTGTTACCCCAGCTACTGCTGCAGAGGTATGCTTTTATTTTAAATTTTTAAAAATATAATTTCACCTTTTATTTTAGATTCATAGGATACACGTGCAGGTTTGCTACATAAGTATATTGTGTGAGACTGAGGTTTAGGGTATGGTTGATCCTGTCAGCCTGGTAGTGAGTGTAATACTCAATAATTAGTTTTTCAACCCTTGCCCCCATCTTACCCTGCTCCCTCTAGTATTCCCCAGTGTCTACTTTTTCCATCTTTGTGTCCATGTGTACCCACTGTTTACTTCCCACTTATAAGTGAGAACATGTGGTATTTTATTTTCTGTTTCTGCATTAATTTGCTTAACATAATGGCCTCCAGCTGCATCCATGCCACTGCAGAGTGTGATTTCATCCTTTTTTATGGCTGTGTAGTATTTCATGGTTTATATGTACCACATTTTCTTTATTCATTCTACCATTGATGGGCACCTATTCTGATTCCATGTCTTTGCTATTATGAATAGTGCTGCAATGTACATACAAATGCAAATAATAACAAAGTGTGTGCCAATGTTCTAATCAATATTTTCAGTTATAATCAACTATGTTTTTCAGAAAGTTCAGTTGATAGAGAACAAACAAAATTGCTGGGTAAGAGATCTTAAAAATAATCTTATAAAAACTGAAATTTTTTTTGGCCTGATAGTAAGAAATTAGCAGGCTAAATTTTAAGAGAAACCTGAAATTCAGAGATATAAGCAGAACAATTTAAATCAATTATGCTTAAATATTAAATTATGAAAATGAGTTACATGTGTGGAAAATAGAGATAGCATAAGTTCTGCTTGAGTTTACCAAGCTCTCTTTATTTCAGCATTGAACTTGGACTCTGAGTCATGACTTCATGTTGGAAAAGAGTGAGTAAGAGAGGTAAATCCATATTCCTCTCAACACTTCCAGATAATTTCAGGGAGAGTTTATTTGACTCTGAGCAGAAGAGGGGCAAAAACAAAGACAGGGATTTTCCCTAAGAAGATTTATTCATTAGCTCATGGTATTTGGATTTGTAGCCCTGGGATTCACATCACTGGAATTTAGGTTTACTTTTTTAAGTTGACATATACTAATTGTACATATTTATGGAGCACATAGTAATGTTTCAATGCATATATAGTAACCAGGTCAAGGTAATTAGCACATTCATTGTCTTAAACATTTATCATTTCTTTGTGTTGAAAATATTCAATATCTTCTTCCTCTATTTGAAGCTTTAATATATTATTATTTGCTGTTCCTACACTGGTGATTGGGATTAAGTACCATTGAGACAAACAAAAATAAATTGTCTCTAAAAGGAAGGCACTTTATTCTAAGTTTCAGGGAATCATCACATTGATTTTTATGGGCAATGACAAAGACGTGCTGCTATATAATCAAACATACAAGGAAACAAGATATTATGAGTTAAAAGCAGTGAAAACAGCCTATAGTAGAAATAGATCTGTGAAATTTTCAAATTTTGGAGTGGCTAGACTCACAAATTACTTTCCTTACTTCATTTAAGTAAAGAAAGAGCACATTAAATGTATCTGCAGGGTAAAAAAATATCTATTCACTTGTGGAAAACAGTAGTCCTAAAAAAATGAAGTAGAGATTCTAGAAACGAATATACAATACATAAAAATGAAAACATAAATGGGTTTAAGATTGCATTAAACAGAAATGAAAATAAAATAAATAGAATTAGAAGACAGTCTGGAGATTTTTATAACTGCCAAATAAGGAGAAGTTTACTCTATATGTGGAATATTTTAGTTTATTTCACTCATACAGAGATATGTGTCTTTTTTTTCTCATATTCCTTACTTTGCATGTGATGAAGAGGTACAGAGTAACTAGAGGTCTAATTCTTGTGTCTCATTGATTAACACTTCCAGCAAGAGCACTCCTAAATCCTTTTCTAAGAAAGCAGTTATTATGTTTTATCTGGGGCATTGCATCCCTTCTCTTTACACAGGGGACAAGAGGCACAGTTGGCCTGCACTCTGCCCTGTGTACTATTTTTTTTTAAAGTGCATTCTAGATGCACTTAAAAAAAAAAAAACTTTTTTTTTTCATTTTATATTTCTTCTATTTTTTGACTACAACCTGAGATTTTCTTTGAGACAACCTAGGGGAAAAACTATTCTGATTTGAGCTGTGGTTTCTTCTACTCTGTTATGTCACCAGGTGACCAGATTTGTGTGCTAGAAATTCCAATGGAAGTCTGGTCACCTCATGACATATTTTCTTTCTTTTAAGGACTGCAATTAAATATATACATATATATATGTATATACACACACACACACATATATATATACACACACATATATATACGTGTATATATATATACACATATATATATACACGTATATATATAATATATTGTATTTCATCCAAGTATTAGAAAAGAAAGGAGAAAGCTGGGGGTATTTATCCACCACATTGATGTGGAAGCATCCTATTTTGACCCAGGCTTTGTTGAGAACTGTTTTTTTTTTTCATTCTGCTCATTAACATTATTTGAGGGAATATTTAACAAATAATGTTAAATAATGTTAACAAGTAATGTTAAATATGTACACATTTCTTTAAAAAGCTCAAACAGATAAATTAAATCAAAACCTCTGAGGTTGGGGACTGAACATCCACATTTTATAAAAACTCCCCGGGTGATTTAATGTATAGCCAAGTTTGACAGATTCTTCCGTACCTCTTCCTTTGATAAATTATAAAATTCTCTAAAGCAGGAACTTAAGATTACTTATTTACCCAGCTAGTGATTTGTGTATAGATATGTAAAGGTATATTAAATATTAAATTGAATTAATAGTGGTCAGAAAAGTTCACAGTGAGGAAATCGAGCATAATTGTTCATTTTTATTTTATGTTGTTGAAATTTTTTTTTTAAATTGAAAAATTCCAGAAAATATATGCACCTTACTTTTCTGTATAAGTAAGCAAAATTAAAAACTTGTGATACTTGGGATATGAGCAAAGTAGTGCATTTTTATGGTTTATTAATCACACAAGTACATGCATACGTACACAGACTGCAGTCATACCCTTGTGCCTTCTCTACTTGTTTTTACAGTTGAATTAATTTAATATATTCATTTGAGATGTGAATTGTTCAATTATCAGGGTGGCAGTTTCCAGGATCATGTAGTTCTCAGGATTATGTTTGATGAATTCCCAGAGATTTTTTCCTTTCTTATTTGGCTTCATATGCTAATAAATCGGTTTAGTTCATCTCGGACAATGTGGCACATTCTAATGAATAAACTGACTACTTAGCACAGAATCGAATCCTGGGAACTATGAATCACCAAGCTATAAATACACAGGGAGCTCCCAGAAAGTTGCTGATAAACTACAGAATGGAGCTTTTTCTGTAAGATGCTGCTGTAAGCTTTTTCTGTAACTAATCTAACTGGCTCTAGATGGTGAGTCAATACCTAGGTTTAGAGCTTTATCTATTTTTTAATCTAAGAAAAGCAATCTGGGAAATGTTATGTTGAATAAAATTAATGCTAAATGCAAGATTATTCATGGGCTTTATACTCCAATGTTGTATGCCACTCCAAGGAGATTTTTGATCATTGAGATCAGAGAATTTTCCTCTAATTATGCTAGATTTGATCCAGAATTCTATTCAACTGGCCTGCATCCACATCTTCCCTTTGATGGATAAGCCCTGCAGATAGAACAACTCCCTGAAGCCTGCTGCTCAAAGAGAGATGGACTATCTCCTTAATTAATTTTTTTTCAGTATGGCTGTGGTAACAATTGATTATTATAAAGAGTGTATCATATTTTCATGGTGCTGTTCAACAGCAAAAGTGTGAATCAGGAAATTATATTCTTACACTGAGCCCCTTTTAAATTTGTTTTATTATGGTAAAATACACACAACATAAAATTTACCATCTTAATGCTTTTAAGTGTGCAGTTCAATGTGCTAACTATATTCATATTACTATGCAACCACAATATCTCCAGAAATTCTTTGTCTGCAAAACCAAAACTGCCATTTCCCTCTGTCCTATGCTCCTGCAACCACTAGTCTATTTTCCATGCCTGTGAATTTTGCTACTCTGCATAGCTCTTAAAATTGGAATTTGTCCTTTTGTGACTGCCTTATTTAACATAATGTCTTCAAGATTCATTTATGTTGTAGCATATGTGAGAAATTCCCTTTTTTCTTAAGGCAGAAGAATATTTCATAGTATATATATATATATATATATAACCTTTGTAAAAATAAATTTTATTTTTCATATTTAAGATACATATTATAAAATATTTATATATTACACAATGGCTACCACATTTAATTTATCCATTCATCCATCAGTGGACACTGGGGTTGGTTCTACCTTTTGGCTGTGGTGAATAATACTGCTGTAAATGTGAGTTGGAACTCCTTTTTATCAAACTATTTTAATCTTTCTAAATCACAACTCTTCTCTTTTACAGATAAGCAAATTGACTGAATTCCTTCATCTGGGGTGACTATAAAGATTCAGGTGCTCCATTCAAAACTTGCCAAATCAGAAGGTTTTGGGGAGGGACTCCTGGGCATAGCATACTTAAGAAAAATAATAGCTGGGTCAGATTATTTCGATAATTAGGAGATTTGAGAACCTGGCACTATTTTGTAGACTCATAACTGAGATTACTTAAAACTACACCTTAATCACCCACTTCTACCTCTCTGAAAAAAAGATCAGCTAAGGCCTTTTCTGAAAAAGAAATCTATAAAAGAAGAATCATCTATACAGACCATCATGTAAAAACATGCAATCTCTCCATTTATTTCTGTGTACTTTATTCTTTTATTATTATTATTATTATTTTGAGACAGAGTTTCACTCTTGTTGACCAGGCTAGAGTGAAGTGGCACGATTTCAGCTCACTGCAGCCTCCACCTCCCAGGTTCAAGCAATACTCCTGCTTTAGCCTCCTTAGTAGCTGGCATTACAGGCATGTGCCACCACGTCTGGCCTATTTTGTATTTTTAGTAGAGACCAGTTTCTCCATGTTGGTCAATCTGGTCTCAATTTCTCTACCTCAGGTGATCTGCCTGCCTCAGCCTCCCAAAGTGCTGGGATTATAGGTGTGAGCCACTGTGCCTGAACTGTGTGCACTTTATTCTTAAGTGGAATACATTTATTAACAGTTACTTCCAGATTAAAGAACAAGTAAAGAACACTTTAAGTCTTAGTAGCATGACCAGCAAACTAATTATAACTTGAAATTTGTACTAACATTTATTGCAGTAATGCTCAAGGCTAATCAGGAACTTCTACAAGTAATTCTCAGAGATTTCTTTAATGGTG